CCTTCTTCTGACAGTGATTTTGAAGAACTGGATCCTTCAACTAATCCATTTGCATATTTTTAATTAATATGAAAAAGTATTCATTAATATGCTCTTTGTATACTGAAGAAATGCTAAAAAAAAAAAAAAAAGGAAATCTTTTGTTCACAAGGACTTATCTTTGTTCACCTCCAAGTATTAATTAAATGTGGCTGTATCCTAGCACACGACACTGAAGAATACGAAGTACCTGAATTTCTCCTTTATGAAAATCACATACTACAACTGAAATGGAGATGCATGCACAAGATGTTTTCCTGTGATTGGTGTGGGTTACACTTCTTTATTGTATTTTCCATGCATGCAGCAGGGAAGCATCCAGATGCACTGTTCCAAGAAAAGCAACTTCTACCTCAGAGAGGTAACACCCAATACTTATAAATGCTTGGGTCTTACAGCTGAGATTTTTTTTTTTTTTTTTTTTTGCATGTTCCCCTCCCAAGAAAAAAAGATTCTAGCATCAGCAAAAGGCTCAGCTGCACCCACACACTAAGCAATCAGACATTCAGATGCCAGGTTAAAAAAAAAAAAAAGACCAACACAACAAAACAACAAATAAATAATGGTGACTGCTTTTTATTCATGCTTCAGTGGTCATACGCTGCATCAATTTTCACTTATCTCTGCCTCAAAGATGTATGCTTCCTAACTGTTTTGCTACACAGTGAATTCAGAACTTACCCAGCCTCCTCATCCTCCTCCCATCATTTGTCCCCTAGCAGACTGATATAATCTGAGAATTTCAGAGAATAAAAGCCTTTATCACAGACATGGGCTTTATCGAGTCCAATAACAAAGGCAAGTTTCATTTTGGTCCTCATTCAAATCCTGCTGAAGCCAAAAGAAATCTCTCAACAAGCTTTGCTCGTTCTTGTTATTTGGAAAACATTATCCCCCAGAAACTGCCAAGTGTCATATAATTAATCAATGTATTCTCAGTACCTAAAGTTACAGCTAGTCAAAGCCACCATAGACTTCCAGCAAAATGATTTATTTGGCAATGGTGCATTTACTTGACCTGCATTGACTTGTAGGTGTGCCAAAATGTTACAGTTCCTAAACGTTCTGGTAAGAATCCAGTAGCATTTTTACAAACTTTCTAGGAAGGAAATTAAGTACATCAACAACGACCTGGATTTTCCCTGCACAGCTTCAGGTGCCTAAACCCTTTTAAATGCCTGGCTTTGAGTCTTTGTCCTAGTAAGTTAAAATGAACGCGGGACAGTTTTACAAGGCTTCATTTCAGAATGAAGCTCTTTTGTCACCTGTCAGGAGAAACACAGTACTTATGCATGCACTCAGAGGATTATGCATATCCATGTGAAAACTAGGCAGCAACACAACAAAGGCTCAATGAATTTGGGATCCATACGCTCCTAGTTATCCTTCTGCTTATTTATAAGCTTATTGTGCCTGTCACCATTGGCTGACAAGAAAGGACATTCTCTTTCAATTACTTTGCTCCTCTAGATGCTTGTTTTACATTTACTGGTTGTGGGAAGACAGTGGTACCCCTGCTGCCTACTGCCTGTTGATTTGGTGACACTGATGTTACTGAATTGTTTTCAATGTAATTTTCACTAGTATTAGATCAAAGAAAAGAAACTAAATGTCTGTGCAAGCTTCAGCACTGTCTAAACATATCCACAGAACCATAAAATCAACTAAAGCACTGTTAACCCTTGACAAACCACCAGTGGCAAAGTGGGAAAATCTCAATTTCATTTCAAGAGTCAGCTGCTACACAGAGAGCTTCCAGAAATGCAGAGCAGCATCTGCAATAACAGTATTACCATGCTTTTCAGCACTTTGAGAAATAAGAGAAAAACAATATGTGAAGAAAGAGCCTGGAGAAAAGAAGCAGAAGTAGGACATGATTTACTTTCACACAGTAGTCCTTTTGTGTAATCACATGCAATTTCTACGCATGGATTTCCCCCAAAGATTTTCTTTTCCCGTCTCTAAAAACAAGTTTTCAGTTAGGTGTCCCTCTGTTCTCTGAGAGACGAAAAAAGATCGCATGATCTGCCAAGTGAATCTGTACAGGCAAGCTTTCCCATTCACCTGAATCCTGCTGGAGAAATACAACTGAAACTTGGTTTTGTTTGATCAGAAAAAAAGCAATTAATGACATATTCTGACATATTTGTCCAAACTTTTGCTGATACAGTAAACAATCACGCATATACATGAGTGCACAATGCGAGTCCCTGCCTGCAGCTCCTAAACTTCTGGCAAGTAAACCTTCTCTCGGTGATCTCCGACTTCCTTCCAGCCTAGAACTGGTTAATTGCCTTTCCCTGTTCCTGTTATCTATGCTACAGCAAAAACCTCAAGCCAGGTCAGCTCATTTGCAAGCAACAGAAAATGACTTCTGTGTTACACCGTGCCATTATGAGCTTAACAAAGCAGACAGAGGAGCTGAAGGTGAAAGGGGAGTTGTAGAAGTAAGAAGATTAAGTTCAAAACAAAGAGCAGACAACTATCAGGCCATAATCTAGCATCTCCCAGCTGTGGGTTCACTACAGCTGTTGGCCCTCCCCATCCAGCCCCTAACACTCCTTGTGCTCCCTTTCAAGAAAACCACTACGGCCATTATCTTTTCCTCGCATTATCTAAGAGCAGACTTTACAGCATCATTGTCCTTGCCACAGAACACAGTTATTCTCACTCGTTTCCATTTCCTCTTTTTCTGACCTCACCTTGACCCTACCACATCTCTACTCTGAGGCATTGGAGGAGGAAAGGGGAATAAGAAAAAAAAAAAAAGCAAAAAAATGAAATGATTCAGCAGTTTCTGGGAAGCACAGGAGCATTAGTCAGAGGTGATAAGGGCAACAGCAACAGCGAGCAACAGACTGATGGATACACTTCCCCAAACCCCTGAAACCGAATAGCTGGGAAAGCCAGCCCTCACCAGAAGCAGTTGAGAAAAAAACACTATCAGCCACCCAGCACCAGTGCTGAATCCAAATGAGCATACAGGTACTGCTCTCCGGTCAAGTTCCTTTCTTACAGACAAGCACACTGCATCCCACCAAGCTAAATAAACACACCTGGGGAGACAGCAGCCCTGTGTAAAGTTCTCTCCAATTAAGGAGATCCACAGCTGCAAAAGCTTTCACTGAATAAAGGATATGTACAGTGCACTAAAATGCATTGCTGCTCTCTTGTTCCTCTTCTCCCTTATCAGGATATACAAGCAACAGCAGTGGTGATGCAGCTAGTTAGGGAAGTATTCATCTACACCAAGCAGCACATGTTTGACTTCTTAAAGACCAAATTTAATAATACAGGTCCTAAGGGCTGCAGACACATGTGCAAGAATGACATTTGCTAGTCTCAGCAGAGCCATAACAGTACCTGCCTAGGTTGAGGAGATTTCCAGGGGCACTCTTCCCAGCCTTCATCTTTCAGCAATATATAAAATCAAGGTTTACAAAGCAAGACCACCTCTTTACAGTAGGACAGAGTCAGCCATAGGATTCCCACCCATCACCTTCAAGGCAGCCTTTCTTTATTTTGAAAACATATGTTAAGCTGTAAATGATGCACAACCATCACCTCAAGAAAGCACAGCTCTTTCCTGAGAAGCTGAACTCAGTTTCACTCTCTCCCAATTTTGGCCGCACAGAACAAGGCTTGCTGCCAACAGCTGTCCCCCAAACCAACGCTTACTGGGTCTCAAGAACTGCATGTTGAGGTGCTGCTCCTGGACCTATCCCCTGTTCTATGCCTCTGGGCCAGCACTGTCCCCTCTCTGCAGTTTCTCCACTCAGAAAATACAATGCTTACAGCTTCTTGTGAAGCACATACTAACATCTGTTATTTAAATGCTTACCAACAATACAACCAAACTTTGCTTTAGAGCAACTTTTACCCACCAGCTGCTTACAATGCCTCCTCTGTTCACTGCAGGCATATTTTCAGATATATTTTTTCACATGAACTCTGGCCCTCTTTCTTCTATAACACTGCTACCATTTCATTTTTAGATACAGCTTATTCAGGCATTGTTATGCAGAACATTAAAAGGAAAAAAGCAAAGCTATGTATAAATTTATAAAAAAATTCCTACAATGACCATAAATGGATTTCCATCCACAGTACAGCAAAATGTATTTGGAAAAATGCAGCATTACATCTGTCACAAACAGCTAGAGAAAGTTGCCAGGCAGTAAATGACAGCAATCATTTATAACACATCAATTCACTGCATTCAGCACTTATGCAAAGGTAGTCCTAGCATATCACATGCCAATTAGTGCGTGTTTAAAGTGCTGTTAATATCCATATCAGAAGTTAGTGAAGAAAGAAGGCCACAGCCTCAAGCTTACATTGCTCTGCACTCCTACTGCTTCCCCGCTCCGCCAGCTTTTAGTTCCTTGCAACTCACTCTCAGGGAGAAGTGGTTATCAGCAGCAGCTGAGGTTGTGAGCGTCCATACAGCTCCCTGGGCTGGGTGCATGGCTGTTTGTACAGAAGCACTCACGGGATTTTCTGGGAGAGGGTGGGGATGAGAGGGAGCTTCTCATTTCCTCCCATTTGTTTAGAATTTCGGTTTCCATGCAGCAACAAGGTTATGCTGTCCCACACAAACACCTGCGTAAGGCACATCGCTCCTAGAGCTCTACACGCAGTACTGAAACACTTATAACTTAGGAACGTACGATAATGACCCAAACCCTCCACACGACATCGTTTAAGCAGACTCTTTATTCCGTCCTCTTTTCAGCCTTAAACGCACACACTCAGTGAGAAAATTACACGGGGGGGGGGGGTCGCACCTTAGCTTCACAGCCCTTCCTCGGAGCTCCCCCCACGCTTGCTATTAGCCGCAACACTCGGTCCGGTCGTAGCCATTGTTTCCCTCAACCGAAGCCTCCTCGGGAAGGCAGCAGAGCTCCACAGGCGAGCGCGCCGCCAGGCAGGGGCTCCCGTCCTCCGTCCCTCGCCACGCCTCAGCTCACACCAACCAGCCCCGCTACCTGTGCCTGCGGCCGAGCCGGGCTGTGCGCCCACCACCACCGCCAGTACCCCCGCCCGTTTCCCCAACAAACCCCCCGCACTGACAGGGGACGACGGGTCGGATGGAGGAGAGGGGACGCCCCCACCCCCCCACACGGCCGGCGTGAGGCCGCCGCTCTCCTCCCGTTTCCACGGAAACCCCGGGGCGGCGCGAGGCGCCGGAAGATTCTCGGCGGCAGACACGGCGCGGCCGGCGGCGGCGGGTGGGGGATAAACCGAGGAACTCGTGGCCGCAGCCCGCAGCCCGCTTCCCGCCGCGCCGCGCCCCGCGCACACACCTCCACACCCCGCCCGGCCGCCGGCGCTGATGGGTTGGGGAAGACGGCTCTTTGTTGTTTGTTTCCAAACCGGGCGCCGGCCGGCTCGAGAGGCGCAGCCCCGCACCTGAGGAGCCCTCCGGCCGCCAGGGGAAGAGCACGTACCTGGCGCCGCCGAGCCTGGGCATGGGCGCGCGCTGAGGCGCCGGGAGCGGGCGGCACCGCGCCGAGCCGAGCCGCGGCTCGCCAACTGCCACTAGTTTGCACGCGCCGGGAGGCGGCGGGCTCGGGCGGGGCTGCCTGGCTCCACCCGCCGGGCGGCTCCCCGGCCCCCTCGCCTTCCCTCCCCGCCGCCATGTCACTTCCTCCCCGACCCGGGGGGAGACCTCTCCCCCCGCCTCGGGGTCGTCCGCTTTGGGACGGCTTTGAGAACGGAACGCCGGGCTGAGCCTTGGCAATGGGGTCGAGACGGGGCGGGCTGGGCTGTGGCGGCGTGCGGGCCCTCTGGGGACGGGCTGCGGGGTGAAGGGCACCTGTGTGCGTCTGCCGCTTGAGGGAGAAATTGGGAAATAGAATAGCGGCTGCTCCGTCTGGACACCATGAGAGATGCAGGTGGTAGCCGTGCAAGCGAGCAGCGGGTTTCCTGACGCGCTGTGATCGCCGCCTGTGAGAGCACAAACGTTTGCTGCTCGGCTTTGGCTGTGGAGTCGCAAGTGGCTTCCTGAATAGGGAACAGCGAGAACCGCGTCTGTTAAATACCCAGAGTATCAGAAGGTGATCGTGCTGGGGATGACGCGTCGCCGCGGGCGGCATTGTCAGCTCCGCATGTCGTGCAGTTACACTGGGGCTGGAGTGCTCCGGCATGATCTGTGACATCCTGGTCCGTAGCAGCCATACAGCATCCCTATTCATCCTGAATGTAGAATCATTTAAAGACTTTAAGCCATCACTAAAGCACAGAAGATTAGGCTGGATATAAGGAAGAAGTTTTTTACAATAGGGGTGGTGGGGCACTGGGACAGGCTGCCTAGTGTGGGAATACAAGAAAAACTGTTCAGAGCAGCAGCTGTGGAGCAAGATAAACATCATGAGAACCAAGGACACCTCTAGAAGAAGAAAGAACATCTCACGGCTCTGATTGGATAAGAGCCTGCATGAACGATTGAAGAGTATTTTGTAGAATGCTCTGTTGACATGTAAAGGTGGATGGGAAAGTTGTAGGAGTGGATAGGAAAGCTAGAAAACTTGTGAAGGTATATAAGTGATGTGAGAGCTTGTAATAAACGATTTGGATTGTTCACATCTGAGTCTGTGCATCTGACGCTGCAGCCTGGAGAGGTGGTGGATACCTGAAGACACCCAATGTCAGGCTGGACAGGGCTCTAAGCAATCTGATCTAGCTGTAGGGATCCCTGTTCACTGCAGGGAATTTGGACAAGATGGCTTTTAAGGGTCCCTTCCAGCTCTAAGGATTCTATGATTCAAAGTTGTTTATGGAGAGGCAAAAGAAGGATATAAGCAAGACTTATGGCTAGTTCCAGGAGCACACTGAGTATCGAGTTACAGGGAAGCATCCCGTCTAAAAAGGCCATGCATGGGAAGGGCAAGATGCTGTATCTATCAGAGAGCAGAAAGGGCAAGGCAGCTGCACAAAGGAGGACAAGTCTGGATCAGAGAGCTGACCACAGCGCCAGCAGTAACTTCATCAGGGTCCCTTGATGACCCCCTGAAGATGAAGCAATAAGTAGTGCAGAGTTTGTTCAGGCAGTCTAACTAGGAGATGGGGTCAGAGAGAGAGTCAAGATTGCAACATGGGTTCAGCCAGGAAACAAGGCCGGAGACAGAACTGACAGCACATCCACCTCCTAATATGTCTCATGCAGAAACTTAATGACCTGAACTTAAATGGGCCCAATTTCTAAGGACAGAGCATGTGAGTGCAGGTCTCAGATGAGGCTGGTCTGGGCTGTTAAGACCTGATGGTGACCTGAGGGCTTTGTAAGATTCTTCTTGGTGAATATATGTACTCTTTAAGGAGGCCAAAATTTAGCAAGTTTGCGCCATTCAGACATGGAAGCGTTGAATCCAGCTCACTAATATACTCAGGCTAGTAGTGGTCTAACTACTGAGGATTAGGAAAGGGTATTTTCACAGCCATACTTTAAAAGGCTGGTCTTTTGCACACATCTTAGAAAGGGACACTTCTAGGTAGGGAGATGAGATTGTAATCCCTAAGCAAGGTAGTGTGTAACTCAGCTAAGCATCCCCTACCTAAGCATCTCCTATCAGCTATTTTAAGCAGCTTTGTGTCCTACACATACTGGGTTTTAGTTGAAGGCATCTCCTTCAGGATCTAGGTATTTTTTTTATGAGCCAAGTATTCAGAAATCAGGCATCTAGTACTAAATGTGGTAGTACCCATATATCTTTTTTGATCCAGCTCTGAGAACAAAATCTCTGCAGCTGATTATTTTTACATTCCTCCTTTTTCTGAGAAATTATAATAAAAACCTGGCTTCTTGTTTTCATTATTATTAAGCTGCAGCTTAATGTAACAATTTGTGAATGCTTTACATTTCAGAAAAATCTACAGAAGGGAAAGAAATCTTCAGTTTGACAGAATGCATCTTTATAAAAAATCTAACCAGGAAAATGGGAATAATGTAACCCTTTTATTTAAATTGAAGTTTGAAAAGTAAGTGTGCCAATCTTAGAAGCTGTTAGATTCCATGGTAATGACTGAAACAGAAAAGCCTATAGCAAACGATGCTTCTATAATTAAGAGCAAAGTTTGTCAGATCCTCACTGTGTATTTTTTTAAGTGCTATCAACGTGGATAATAGAAAGGAATCAGATGAACTTTCCTTAAGCTCTAACCTCCAGAGCAGCGAATAGAGTGGATTAAGATGTGTACAGTTAATTAAAAATCCCACCATACAGCCAAGGACAGCTAAACTGAGTATCTTCAGGTCTCAGTTTTGGCATTTCCTTTTGAGTGCTTGGATTTGCACTTTCAATGCAGTTTTTTTTCTTCTTGCTTGTGGGCACATAAATAGCTTATTTGCATTGAGCAGGACTCAGGAGTTGAGTCAGGAACTTATACCAGGTGATGACTCTGCTGCAATGCCAGGACCATTTCTCACTGTACTTAAAATGGGTAACTTTCAGTGAATCTTTCTGCAAGAAATAGCAAGCAAACAAGCAAAGTAAAAACCAACAAAAACCTTCTGCTGAGCTAGATGTGCACTCAGATCAGGAAGGGATCCAGGTATCTCACACAACAGAAGTGAAATTGCTTGCTTGTTCTAACAGACAGACCCAAGCCCTACTGATACTCTCAAGTGCTTTAAGAATCTGATTTCAGAAATTTGATTTAGTTAGGAGCTTATCTATTCTTGGAAGCACTGCAGTTCTAGCTATAGCAGCCTAATGATAGAAGCAGCACACGTAGTATTGATGCTGCTAGATTGATGGAGTGTATACTGTATAGGAATATATGATGATGCACTGCTGTGAGCAGCTGGGCTCAGGAAGCCCAGTTTGCTACTGCTGTGTGTCGTATGGTTAGATTCTCTGATGTCTAATAAGATATGTATTATAAATGACACATTTCTCTCATTTAAAGCATTCATAATGTTCCTCTTCTGTGTAGGCTGAATGTAATAAAGATTGTACTGCCAGCTATCCCTCTGTGTGGGCAATAACAGGAAGTCTTTCCTGTACTTGACTTATGTGTTTTATGAAATCTGTGGGAAAGTAATTGTATCTGAGAGCTCGGCTTCTTTTCTGGGGCTTCATTAAAATCAACAAACAAGTACAAGAGTCTTGGTGATGATTAATATATATAGCACTGATTCATATTTTTTTACTTATGAAACCAGATGAAAATAAGTGTATACCGGCCAATAAATGTTAACTGTTGGAGAACAAAAATGAAAGCTAACACACATGCAGGTGTATCAATTTAAATATGCTAGTGTGGGATGGCAGTGAAAAATCACTCTTTTTTGGCTGAAGTAACTAGCTTTACTGGGCAAGTTTTTCTACCTCAGTTATATACTGGTTCCACCTTCTTCACAGAAAATATAACCACTTCCTTACACAGAAGCTATACAGTACCCATACATGGAAATATCCTGTTAAAACTAAACCTTGGGTCCACAGTTAGTTTTTAAAAAGATTCATTCTGTAATTGAATGTGCATTAGCAAGAAAGAGAGCTGTGTGAAGTGCAGTAGAGGAATTTCAGCTCCTGACTGCCTAACCCAACCCTTTACAATGTCTAATACATATGGAAAGACTAACGCCATGCAAAGTTGTGGGAAAAAAAGGACTCAATCATTTATTTTGAATACCATCCCTCTAAGAAATGCCAAGGATCATATCATAAGAAAGTTTAAAAAATTACTCTTTGCAGAACTGTACTCACTTTTTTCCCAACTACACAAAATAAGCATTCCTTACACAAGTGAAAGAATTTCCACGTCTGTTTTAAAAGTTCAGTATGAATCTACCTATAAGGAAAGGAGGGGTTGTTGTTTCCTTGTAAACACAAATGTAATAGGTGTATCACAGATTATTTTCACTCTTTTCTGAAAGCAATGAAGACATCATTGCATACCACCTTAGGCCCACAGTTGTTTGCTCAGGTGACTAGCTTTAGAGTAACTGTATGTGCAAGTGTTTGAGCTGCCATTTTTCATACACACTCTACAAAACTACATGCACAGGAGGAGCTAAGCAACCAAAAATGTGAGAACTTCAATGGGACCTTGGAAATAGAAAGATGCCAATATCTGTCATGGGTATGTGCCTGGGCACGAAATTCCTTGAAGATCTTAGAGGAAAGATCACTTTGCAGCTGCAAATTAAGTGCTGCTTAGCAGTACTAGGGAAACCATCGTTCTTCCAGAAGCAGAGAGAAGAAACGGCATAGCAAAAAAAATCTTGGTCTGAACTTGGAAGCCAGAGAAGCTTGGAAGCTGAGCTTGGAAGTCAGAGAAGCTCTGACCCTGTAAAAACAAATGCTGCTTATGCCCCATTCTGTTTACATTGAGTTTACCAGGGAAGAGACACACTGGCTGCTCTCCAGGTTTTCAAGGGCAGTACCTGATCTGAATATATAGCTATGCAGACTTTAGCAGTCAGAAACAAATCCACACAGCCATCCTTTTTCAGCTCGTACATTTCTTCACCTAGAAAAGGAAATTATTTCAGTATTATTTCAGGGGAAAGGCTGCTTAATGTTTCAGTAGTGAATAGAGATGGGCTTGGTGAGCCTGCTACTTGGAACTTTTGCAAACTTACTGGAAAGGACAGTCACTGCAATAAGCGTGTACGGCTTAATCTGTCTTGTAATGAATTCTGTAGAAGCGTCCTCTCCCTGTGGATGGCTGCATGCTCTCTCTGCCCATAAAAGACAGCAGCTGTAAACCATGCTTAAAGCATTCATCTTTATTCTGCCAGGGAGCAACTCTAGATCCCTTGCCAAATTTACACTGAAGCTAGCATTTGATTATCTCATTGTCATTCAACTACACAGAAGTGGAGAGGTCATTAAAAAAACAATCTTTTAACAAGTGGCAGGCAAAATACTCATCCTTATGTGTTGCTCACTGAAGGACGTGTTGCCCACATGCACTTCTCACCAATTCTGCACCACATTTTCTGTGTTGGAGATAGAAGGCAGGATACAACCCTTGCCTCAGCTGTTGCAGTCTCTATCCAGTGTTCCCTTATGTGCTACTTCTGTAAAGATTGCCATCCAGAAGCTGTCTGCTTCCCAAAGAAAACAAAGTTAAAACCTGTTTAGGTGGAAGGAAATATCCACTGTGCAACACTCTTCACACGAACATGGATATAATT